ATGAGATGCTGCCCAAACTGCTGCGACATGCCTGCGACGAGTAAGAGGCGTCTAAAGCTCCGAGTGCACGCGCCGCGGCGAAATGAGTTCGTACGCTTCTGGAGCGTCGCGGCGAGATCGTACTCTTCTGGTTTGTCGCGGCGAGATCGTACTTGTCTGGTTCGGCGCGGCGAGATCGTATTCTTCTCGTAGGACCCGTCGTTGTGCAAAGCCGTGTGCACACATTTAGCATACGTCGTTTTATTACATTGTTCTGGAATAAAATTGACGGAAGGTTACGTTTGCTCAGGATTTCACACAGCAACGTATTTCCACTTAAAAACTACTGGGATTACCAACCAGTGAACCGTTTCGACACAAATTGTATATAAATACTCGTATTCGTCAAGATAGGGGGGTTAGTGGTTGTAAGGGGGTCTAAATCTTGGTCCTAATTTGATCTATGGATTAAAGAGGTACAAGAGATCTTGTACGCTTTGCGCGTCTTTTTTATATTTTAAAATACAAGGAATTCCTTGTCTTTTCGACGTGTATTTGTATGTATCTCTGTGCATTTCTAACTATCCTACAGTAGTTTTTTGGTATTTCCTTTGTGTTCTTTAATGTATTTTTATGTGCACGATTTTTTCGAGTTGGCCGCCCCCTCCTTCTACTTCGCGGTTTTGCACACACTATGTTCACTCGCTTAATTGTTGTACGCGCACCTTTTTAATCATATTTAAAAACATATGTGCATTTCCTCTTAAAGTGATCTGTGTAATGTTGCGATTTGTATTCTGCAATGTCTCGGACTCAGGCCACAGTTTTAACAAAATGTCGTTCATAGTGAACCCCACAAAAATGATGAATCGCTGTAACAAATTGTACATTCTAAATGTACAGGGATAATTGTGTTCCTAATAAGGGAACGTCTTCGTGCACATCCAGGTTGGATGCATTTTTGTTCCTAAAATTCGGCTAATACTTTTCACACAATTGTTGGACCAGTTTTGCGGACAAAATTCCATCCTTGTTGGAGGTGCACGTAAACGTTCCCTTGTAAGGAACAAAATTGTCCCTTTACATTTATTTAGAGAGTAAAATCTATGAAGAATATATTTTGTGCCAACCGAAGGATGCCCACTACGACGGTTAGTCGCGCAACGGCAGTGACGGGGCTAAGAGCGGGACTGGAAGAGGGACCTTGTCGCGCGGGAGTTCGGAGAGATGACGCCAAGAGTGGCTTAGACCACGCCCCGCCACGCCCCGCCACGCTCCGCCACGCCCCGCCACGGTCCGATAATGTTCTCGCACGGCGACTTAGTTTAACTTCCTCCGCCACCTCTGGAGTCTCCAACAGACTGGAGGGAGCGGGCTGGGGCAGGACGGACTAGCCGCCGGGCGGGGGCGGGGTGGGTCAGGACGCACGCCTGCCTTCTGGCCTGCCCCGAGGGCGCTAACTCCTCTGGCACCCCCCTCTTTCCCCCTCGGGCTTCCGACCCGTTTGACGCCAACAGCCCGGCACGTACGCAGTGACCCCGACAAACAACAACATACACCACACACGCTTCTCTCTCTTTCTCTCGCTCTCTCTCTCTCTCTCTCTCTCTCTCTCTCTCTCTCTCTCTCTCTCTCTCTCTCTCCCTGTCTCCCTGTCTCTGCTGCTCTCCTTTGCTGACACGACCGTTCTTTATTTTTGGCTGAGCGATAGCGAAGCCTATTACTCCAGTGATGATCAAAAAGTTTCGTGTCTGTCTGTGTGTCTGTCTGTCTGTGTGTCTGTCTGTCTGTTTGTCTGTAAACACGATAACTCGAGAACGGGTTGAGCTAGTTAATGCTCGATCAAATCCAAGAATCTTTTATTATCCGTATACTCACTACTACAATCAAACGTAGTCGTGATTTTAAGAAAAATTATTGTTAACTTTGTACTGAAAAAAAACCCTGTTTTGATTCACGAACGACTTTGTGAAAGCAAAAGGTGGCAAATAAACGCAAAAATAATGTATGTAATCTTTAAAACTTTGTATCTTTTTCTGTAATGTGGAAGCAAATCACTTACTCCCAACTCTTAAGTCTTTAAAAAAATACCCAGATATCGTGTTCCGTTAAGCAGACCCAAAAAGCCCATTCCTGGCACACGAACACACTGTAAATTGCTTACGATTAATAGGTTCGTAATGCAAACCAAAACTTTCGTAGCTTACGAAGGATTTTGAAGCGTTGCATTACGAACTAATTGTTCGTAAGCTTACGAACAAATAGTTCGTAATGCAAACCGATTGCTTGTAAGACCCTGTCTCTAACCTTACAAACAATCGTTTTGCAATAATACGAACAATTTCTTTGCAATACAAAGAACGAAAATTGTTCGTAACGTTGCAAAGTACTTAGTTCGTAAGCTTTTTACAGTGCATGCAATCCCAAACACAGGCTACCTTTTTTTTTCGTTGTGATATGCGCGTGTTCTTGCAGGGCTCCAAGCGCATCAAGAACATCATATTTTTCGATGTAAAGGTTTGAGAGAAACGTAGTGCTAATATATTAAATTGTCTGTTTACGAGTAAGGGGATAATGATTAAAATTTGCCAGTACGTTACTGGAAAATGTCTTCAGACGCCCATTCAAGGCGATACTGAAGGCGATACTGGCAAGCAGGAGAACAACTGAAAGGGTTCGCCATTGCGACGTGGTTATGACGCTTCGATACAACAAGTCCTTTACTCCTTTCACCATTTTTTTATATATATTTTATTCTCATTTCCTGGGGGAACCCCAGTCCCGCGACCTTGGCGCTCCCTCCAGCGAGTTTATCGGGTGTCGATGGAACCTAACACTTGAAGTCCACGGGGAGTACGCCGTCCACGGCGATGTAGCAGAAGGCACCCTCCTCGGGGACGGGCTGCGCCGACAGGAAGTCCCCCGCGCCG